TGCCTCTGGTGAGTGGGACTTGACTTATTGTGCTAAACCTTCCCCTACATCAACAATTTAATTTTCAACTATCTTTTCTGTTTTTTACCAGATTTTTAATGGCATCCTTCTGATGCTCAATTTGTTTCTTAGGCCCAAATCTCTTTTAAAATCTCATTCAATTGTCTTATCATTTTATTTTTGAGGTTTACCATACTGAATTCATGACTGTAGTAAGTTACTCCACAGTATGAAGCACTTGAGAAAAAGCTGTTCCTTAGGATATAGTTTTTAGACGCCTAGTTATGAAGCATCCGAACCCTAAACGTTCCAAAATTGTTTATGATTGCTAAAATAATTCAGACACATCATTTGAAGAAATTAAACATTTATTGAGATGTTTATTCAGTAATAGCAACACAGTTTCTCAAGAAAAAAAGATGAGCTGAACTCACCCCAAACGAAACAAAGTAACTTTCGATTATTCTCAGGAACAGTTGAAATCTATAATCTCATATTCCCCTTTAATAAATGTCAAGATACATAAAATACTTGAAGGAAGACATCCAAATCATCCTAAAAAAATAACATTCTAGGATAAGCAGTTGAAGGGTAGCAATCTCTGCATGTCACAGTATACCAGATGCCTTCAGTGGCTTTACAACCATTCTACTCAAATTATCAATATATGTATGCAAAATGCTTGTAAAAAATGGAAACATCTGCAACCTTTCCCAGGTTTTGATTTCAGGAACAGGTGCAAACCATCTCCTTCATAGATCTTCTGTTATAGCACCCATCAAAAACCATTGGTCCAGCTCTCAAATAATGAATATGAAGCATGCATGTTCTGCTAAATTTTGAATAAGTGATGTATTCTATAGCTATACTACAAGCCATGAATTATTTTTGTACAACATTCCAATATTCCCTGAAGAGATTTTATACAAAGTTGAAAACAGCTATTTTCCATCATAGTCAAAGTCAATTTACTTTTTACGTAACACACACTGTTGCATTCTGTTCAGTTTTTACAATGAGTTGGTACGGTGTTATGTGTGAGAATATTCTCACATATTCAGATTGTGCATATACTAAACATAATCAAGGCTCCACATCAGTTAAGTTTGACATCAAAATGTCTGACCACAGATCCTCTAAATAGCACTCACAGTATTAGTGAGAGAAATTTTCATTTTTCTTCCTATCGTTTCAAAGGCTCTCTGTTTGAAAACTGAGTTTACAGATAATTCTAGAGAAATAAATCCCATTACACATTGGAAATTATTGATAGATATGGTGACAATACATATTTTCCATTTAAAAATAAGTTTGACAGTCCTGGCCGGTTTGCGTAGTGGTTAGAGCAAGAGCCCACGGATCGAAGGGTCACAGGTTCGATTCTCCATCTAGGGCACGTACCTGGGCTGCAGGTTCAATCCCCGGGCTAGGTCAGGGTAGTGCAGGAGACAACCACTCATGTGTCTCCCTCATAATAATGCTTCTTTCTCTTTCTCCCCCCTCACCCCCATTCTATCTAAAAATCAAAGGAAAAAGATCCTCGGGTGAGGATTAACAACAACAACAAAAAGTAAGTTTGACATTGATTTGTAATCAACTTTAAACTGCCTAGTCCAACATGCTATTCCATGTTCTTCTTATGATTCTTTATTGCTTAAGAGTTGACAACATCATATTCCTTTTTAGTTTTAAAAAAGAACATTCTTGTACCATCTTTTAGACTTGTCTTAAATTTATCTAATTTTATAACTTAGTTTTTAAAATCTAGTATCATGGTCAATGAATTAAGAAACAATCATCAAAACAGTCTGTCCAGAATTTAATAGACAAAGATGGGTTGCTTTGGCAGTATATAAAGAGTTAACTGTCACAGTACAAATCATTTAATCTACTTTTATTAAGTACTAAAAGGCAATTGTTTTAAGACACCTGAAATTACATTTAATAAATGGATAACCGGACCCACACCTGACATATTGCTCCCTACTTTTCTTCATTTACTGTAAGGAACCAAAAAAGTTATTTTAAATAAACAAATCAGTGGTCTTTCTAAAAACACCTCAAAGAGGTTCTGACTACTATTAAGGCATTTATTACTTACAATATAAACTTCTGGAAAAGATACTGAATACTATCTTTTAAGGTTTTTCCCTTTAATGTATTTCTGCTGTCTCCTGCTCTCTTGAATCCATTCACAGCGGCTCAACTGAAAGTATGCCTATTGAGGAGTCAATAGATGTGACTGATTGTTTAAGCTTCCATTCAAGGTAGGGCAGTGATTCCCAAACCTGGCTTCCTATCAGCACCATCTTCGAAAAATGATGCAGGGACTTCCTGGCTCCTTCAGACCTAATGAAGCCATGCCCTCACCCTAACCTCTCCTGTGACTCTGTGCTTGGTCTTGCATTATCCAACATTCGGGATGACTAAGAGGACAATGTTAAGGGGAGATACTTGTCATCACATTTCCCTAGGTCCTACCTCATAAACTGGGATCCAGAGGGGAAAAAAAAGTTGAACCATTAGCACTAAATAAGTGAGTACAGTGACCAGGAAACAAAGCTAGTATCAACAAATCAAACAAAGAGAGCCATCTGCCCCTCCCATGACAGCCAGTCCCCTTCCACCTTGGAGAGCCTCACTCTGAACCAGAGGAAGGCAGACGGCACGGGGCACAGGGTGGAGCTACAACTCAGTGAGTGACTGTCTCCACCCCATTTCTCTCCATCCCCATCGATTCTCCACTTCCATTCCATCTTTTCTTACTCGCCTTTTGCCACTCACTCTTATTCCCTTCTCTTTCCTCGCTTTCTCACTTCCTCTCTTTTCCTTCATTTTTTGATCATTCACTTATATCATTCTTTTCTCTGCTTTCCCTTCCTTAAAACTCTTCCTTACCAATAAGCAAATTAATACATGTCAGAAAACATTCAGCCTGAGGAGATAACAGGGCAAAACAGAACTTCCACAGTAATGTTGATGTGCATGACATAGCCACGCAGAATGTTTTCAAATCCATTACCTCTTTAAGCATCATAACTTCCTAAGTCATGGCTGCTGGGTCTCATGAGGTTAGAAGGGCATATTGATTACTTACACACCCAAGGCACAGAGAAGGTTAAACGATATGCCTGGGGTCCCTTCACCAGGAAGAGCATTCACAGTCTGACTCTTTCCATTACACCAGTGACCCCTGACTGAGGTCAGATGAGACAGCAACAGCAAGCAGTAACAGTGCTTCAGGTTCTAAACCACCCAAAGATAAACCGGGTCACCTAACACATTCTAAACCACTCTTCATAGGGGCATAAAAAAGTAGGTATTTTCTTAAAATATAAATCACAACATAGATTTCTAAGTTTTTCATGTTCTTTTAAGATGACTACTTCACGCAAATGAAGTGTGACTACATTTTAGTCATTCCACTTTGGTAATACTGTAGCCCAGAGATAGTTCTGAGGTCAGAATTGTTCTAACATATAGACTCAAAAAATATACAATGTAATTTATATAAACTGCATAGATATACTGTTTTGTGAAAAGAAATATAATATTCTCTAAATTGTTCCATAAGTTAACCTCATTAATGCTGAGAGCTGGATTTCTTGAGCATTCTCAAGGAAAAAGTTACCTAAGCTAACAATAAATTCAGGAAACTCATTTTAATATATTTATGGACTTTCTGTAATATCCTAAATTTTAGGTAAAAATAGTCCCTAAGTAGAAAGTTTTCACCATATCCCTATTTATGGTAAAATGCCTAATTAGGCCAGATCTGAAAAAACCAGATGAAGAATTTTCCAACTGACCAACAATGTGGAGTGTGACAGTGCAACTAAGCCACAACATGTGTGAGACCACAGTACACAGTCAGTTGGATTAAACTATGACCATACTCTACAAGTCTCAATCAATCATATCAGAGCCCATGGGGCTGAGATTCTGTTCACTGAGGAAATTAAACCTAAGGAACTTGCTTATAATATAAATTCATATCTTGTCAATAACCCAAGTACTTCCTCTAATATTTCAGAATCACAATTATAATCCACCAACTGTGCCCAGAATTGTGATATCCTAATTTCAACCTTCAAGTTGGCTAAATGATTTCCAGTGGTTCCCAAACTAGCTGACATCAAAATCACCTGAGGTGCTTCTTAAAAATAGAATTATAATGTGACTTATTTTTGTACCCTGATCCTAACACTGGAGACAATCAGGGGAACCTGCTTTAAGGACTAGAGATTCATTTAATATGGAGGAGGTACAATGTCACTGTAGGTACCAAAGTGTTCAGGGTGATGAAATAACATGCTGTCTGGGATTTTCTTTAAGATACTTTAGCAAAGAAGAAAGAGATAAATGACACAAATATGGTAAGATAAAAGTAAGTGCTTGATCTGAACAATCAGCACCACTGTATTCTTTTCTCTACTTTTGTGTAATTTTTTTAATCTCTTCATTTAAAAAAATGTTTGCGGACCCTATCCCAGACACAGTGGACCAGAGTTTTCAAAGATGAAGCCCGGGAACCCCTTCTCAACAAGCTTCCCCTGAGAGTCTAATAGAGCCAGGAAGGCAATGGTCTTATTTGGGGACCGTTAACCACAACCTTCTATACACCCTCCAAATTTAGACAGCGGTCAAGAACTCTAAAAGAAGTAATATTTTTTTGTATTTTCAACATTTAAAAAAAAATAATTGTCTTGCCCAGCCGGTGTGGCTCAGTGGTTGAGCGTCAATCCATGCACCAAGAGGTCGCTGATTCGATTCCCAGTCAGGGCACATGCACAGTTTGTGGGCCTGATCCCCATTAATGGGGCATGCAGGAGGCAGCCAATCGATGTTCTCTCTCATCGATGTTTCTATCTCTCTCTCTCCCTCTCCCTTCCTCTCTCTAAAAAGAAAGAAAATAAAATAAAAATTAAAAAGAAAAAGATACAAAATAATTGTCTTAAATTTGTCTTAAATGATGTTCAATAAGGGAAGCTATTCACATCGACCTAATCAAAACTACTTTTCTGTAGTCAGAGGTAATGGTGTTCTTAATCCAGACCATCAATGAAAGTTGTTTAAAGTAAGGTTCTATATATTTGCTTCTTCAAAAATATCTTGTAAAACTATTTTGAGGTAGAAAAAAAAAGTTAAATGACCACTTCTTCCTGCTCCATTGTAACTAAAATTACTGTTCACAGAAGTATATAGCTTATGCATTTTGGTCCATCACATTTTCCACCATCATATAGGTATATACTATTTAGGTTTTCATTTTATTATCATCAGTTCTTTTTTTGCTTCCAGAATGCCCAGTAAAGCTGAAATTTTTCACTTAAAGTAATAAAAAAATTTCCAAAATATTGTTTAACGATCTTAGATCTGAGTTTGGCAAGAGTGTTTAACATAGACAAATGAAAATACTACATTTCACAAGCATATACATAGACTAAACCTCCACAATTTTCACTCTTTCTTATACAGCTCAATTTTAAACGTGCAGTTTACTTGTACTCTAAAAATAATTTCCAACTTGATTGTCACAAAGATTTTAAAACAGAGATGAAATATATGAAGGCACACATAGATTGTCATGGTTACATCACATTTTTTTAGAAACAGAATCTTTTCTGCTCCTGTAAACACTGCTTTTCTCACACATTTAAAGTGAGGTTAGTGCTGACATAGAATTATTGCTATACTCACAGTCTGAGTGTTCCCACTGTGTATGAGGTACATCATCTCCATCCATACACCCTACTATTCTTACTTGAGAATAAGAGTCAACCAAAGTCTGTAGGCTATAACAATTCAATAGTTTCATCAATACTGGAATGATAGCAAATAACATTACAAAACATCAGAGATGAAAAATGTCTTCTTCTTGGGGTCTAAAACATTTATTCTTCATTAAATGAATATTTTGCTTATTTAACTTTTTCAGGAAAAAAAATTATTCTGAAGATGAGTAATTCCTTCCTGAACACTTCATCCAAGACAATTCCTTCACACAAATACTCCAATATTTTGTGGGTTTAATTCATTTGACAGTGGTCTCCAAGAATCACCTTTCCTTTGTTGGTCTATCATAACGGTTTTGTATGCTTTTTGCCAGCCGTTTGATAAATATTTTGTAAATTTTCCCACAATATGTATGCACTGTCTTTTGCAATTCCAGTTCTAAAGGTTTTAATAAGGAACGGATGTGGTCATCTTCAAAAGAACACTAAAGGAAGAAAATAAAAAGACAAATATATATATAAATACGTAATTAGTTCCAAATAACTTCTTCAATCAATTTAATATTGACAACCTCCATTTAAAGTCTCACAAAAAACACCTTGGCTGGTGTGACTCAGTTGGTTGAGCATCATTTCATGCACAGAAAGGTCACCCGCTCAATTCCTGGTCCCTGGTCAGGTTGTGTACAGGAGGCAACCAACTGATGTTTCACTCCCTCTCTCTCTCCCTCACCCTTTCCCTCCCTCTAAAATCAATAAAAATTGATTAAAAATAAATAAATAAAGTCACCAAAAGCATATGCTCAACAAATATTTTCAATGAATTAAGTAGAACTATAATCTCACATTTTAGAGGGAGAAAGTAATGGTAAATCACTGGGGTGTCAGGGAAAGTTCTTCCCAGAAAGGATAATGGAGGCAGGGCATTCGAAGCCAAGGCAAGAGTTCTTACAAGTTCAAGGGCAGAGAATACCCAAAGATACTGACTGCTATGAGATGACGACCAAAAACTTGGAGAGAAACTAATAAAAGCCCCAAATCACTGATGATAGTGTTAAGGCTGAACTGAAAAAGAATGAGACAGAGGCACACAGTGGCAGGAATGCAAAAATTCCTAGGAATATGAAGTGCTTCAGACTCAGTTCATTCATTTTCATGGGATTTAAATCTCAGTGTTTATGCTTAAAATTTTTTTTCATCAAAAATAGTCTTTTGATGACTATTTTCCTGAAATAAAAATAGTATCTCATGAATTAGAGTTCCTTTAGCCCACCATTTAACACAAGTAATTTGACCTTTAAGGGAGAATATAATAAATTACCAAAATTTCCACCAACATAAACATAGCCCGATGTCACTGCATTCTGCCATTCACACAATGCAGTGTGCCCGCACAGTGTGCCATATATAACCTGCATCTAGCTGTTCCCTTTCCCAGAGGCCACATGTGCCCTACCCTGGCTGCAGGCTCTTTCCATACTGCCTGCTGTGCCGACTCATCTTCACCGGCCCTTCCCTGCCTGGTACTCACCCTCACAACTCAGTTCCAGGGTCAGCTCTTCCTGGAGCCTCTCTGTCACAGTTTATCACACCCTCCCCCTCACCACTGACACAACACCCAGTACACAAACTTTTAGGAAGGTCATGCTTTGTATATAAGACTCAAATGCAAGGCAGTGAATAAATAGATCATTCAAGGCATTTTCAAAGAACAAAATATGTTTTTAAAATATGGCAGAATGGCAGTTCAATGCAGCAAATGCTGGGTACACCCATAACTAAGAAGGCAGGGTAGGAGGTATGCACTCAACATCCCCTTGCAGAGATAGCTATGCAAAATATAAGCAGAGTGTGAAGTAAATCTAAGTTAACATAGAAATACCAAGAAATATAATAATTCAGAATGAAATACATTAAGCAGAAAATACCTTACAGAGCAATAAAATGTTTTGTTCCCATTTTGAATTTGCAATTTTTAATATTAATATTTTTATTCACTCAACAACTAATATTTAACAAATATGTATGGACTGTAAAAACTGACTTGCTGGCAGACATAGCCATGCATTTACAATTTAAAAACGATCCACATCCTTTATAATTCATATTGTTCACTGTATTCGATGGCTATGACTAAGTGTCTGTCTAAAACTTGCATAAATACCTTTGTCTGAATACCTTTTAAAAACACTTTCACTGAATTATAGATAAGAGAAGATAAAAACACTAACCAAAGGCACCATAAAAGGCTGATTAACTTCATTAAATTGAAAAATGGATTTACCACAGATCCAAAATAAACACACACAAAAATCAATAATTCAGTGCCTGAAATCATCTTAAAATATTAATTTTTGTTTTGTTTTGTTTTTTTTTAATCCTCATCTGAGGGTATTTTTTCATTTATCTTCAGATAGAGTGGCAGGAAGGGAGGGAGGGAGGGCGGGAGGGAGGGAGGGAGGGAGGGAGGAAGGGAAAGAGAGAAATCGATGTGAGAGACACGCTGATTGGTTGCCTCCCATAAGACCCCGACTAGGGCCAGAGACCAAACCACAACCGAGGTATGTTCCCTTGACCGAAACCGAACCTGAGGCTCATTGGTCCATGGGCCAACCCTCTAACCATTGAGCCAAACCAGCCAGGACTATTTTTTTATTTTTTTATTGTTGAAAGTATTTCAGATGTCCCCTTTTCACCTCACTGATCCCCTCCTTTCCGCTTCCACCCCCCTCCTGCTTTCCCCAACCTAAAGTCTGTGTCAATTGGTTGTGTATATATGCATGTAAGTTCTTGGGTTTATCTCTTCCCAGCCCTCCCACATCCCATCCCTCTGAGGTTTGTCAGTCTGTTCCCTACTTCCATGTCTCTGGATCTCTTTTGATCATCAGCTTATTTTGTTCATGATATTCCACAAGTACATGAGGTCATGTGGTATTTGTCTTTCTCTGACAGGCTTAATTTCACTTAGCATAATATTCTCCAGGTCCCTCTATGTCGTCTCAAAGAGTTAGAGATCTCTCTTCCAGTTCCATAGCATTCCATTGTGTACATGTACCACAGCTTTTTATCCACTCATCTACTAATGGACACTTGGGCTGTTTCCCGATCTTAGCAATTGTAAATAGCACTGCTATGAACATAGGAATGCATATATTCTTCCTGACTGGTGTTTCAGGCTTCTTATGATATATTCCAACAAGTGGGATCACTGGGTCAAATGACAGTTCCATTTTTAATTTTGTGAGGAAACACCATATTGTTTTCCACAGTGGCTGCACCAGTCTGCATTCTCACCAGCAGGGTGCTAGAGTATCCTTTTCTCCACATCCTCACCAGCACTTCTTGTTTGAGAATTTGTTGATGGTGGCCATTCTTGCAGGTGTGATGTGATAACTCATAGTCATTTTAATTTGCCTCTCCCTGATGATTAGACATGTTGAGCACTTTTTCATGTTTCCTGGTCATCTTTATGCCTTGTTTAGAGAAGTGTTTATTCAGGTCCTCTGCCCATTTTTTAATGGGATTGTTTGTCTTCCTTTTGTTGAGTTGTATGAGTGCTCTCTATATTCTGGATATTAACCACTTATCTGATGTATGGTTGGCAAATATGTTTTCCCAGAGAATGGGTTCCCTTTTCATTTATATGCTGGTTTCTTTTGCTGTGTAGAAGCTTTTTAGTTTGATATAGTCCCATTTATTAATTTTTTCCTTTGTTTCTCCCGCCCTAGGCAATGTATCAGTGAAAATTCAACTAGGTATGATGTCTGTGATTTTTCTGCCTACATTTTTTCTAGGATTTTTATGGTTTCACAGGTTAAACTTAAGTCTTTTATCCGCTTTGAGTTTATTCTTGTGTATGGTGTAAGTTGGTGGTCTAGTTTCATTTTTATCTGTCCAATTTTCCTAACACCATTTATTGAAGAGACTGTCTTGTCTCCATTGTATGCTCTTGCCTCCTTTGCTAAATATTAATTGTGCAAATGGTCTTGAGTCAATATTTGGGTTTTCTGTTCTGTTCCATTTATCTATATGCCTATTCTTGTGCCAGTACCAGGCTATTTTGATTACGATGGCTTTGTAGTAAAACTTGATATCTGGTATTGTGATCCTCCCACTTTGTCCTTCTTTTTCAAGATTGTTGTGGTTATTCAGGGTCTCTTGTGGTTCCATATAAATTTTTGAAGTATTTGTTCTAGATCTGTGAAATATACTATTGGTACTTTAATAGGGATTGCATTGAATCTGTAGATTGTTTTAGGTAGTATGGACATTTTAATGATGCTGATTTTCCAATCCACAAACATGGTATATGTTTCCACGTTTTTATATCTTCTTCTATTTCTTTTTTTAAATGTCCTGTAGTTCTCTAAGAACAGGCCTTTTACCTCCTTGGTTAAGTATATCCCTAGGTATTTTTTTGGTTGTTGTTGCAATGGTAAATGGGATTGGATTTTTTAGTTTCCCTGAGTGTTCATTACTGGTGTATAAGAATGCCATTAATTTCTGGATGTTAATTTTGTATCCTGCTACTTTGCCAAATTCATTTATTAAATCGAGTAGATTTTTGATGGCGTCTTTAGGGTTTCCTATGTACAATATCATGTCATCTGCGAATAATGAGTTTCACTTCCTCCTTTCTGATTTAGATCCCTTTTATTTTTTCTTCTTGTCTAATTGCTGTGGCTAGGACTTCCAGTATTACATTAAATAAGAGTGGCGAAAAAAGCTGCTTCTTTGCAAAGATAAACAAGATTAATGAACCTCTGGTCAGACTCACCAAGAAGCAAACAGAGAGGATCCAAATAAAGAAAATCAGAAAAAAGAGGGGAAGTAACAGCTGACACCACAAAAATACAAAGGATTGTTAAAAAATACCACGAACAGTTATACGCCAACAAATTGGACAACCTAGGCGAAGAGCAAAAAAATATAAACAGTATGCTACCTTTTGTTTAAGAAAAGGAGAATTAGAGAGGAATTCCAAAATGGCGGCAGAGTGAATGGAAGCTACACAGACTGTCTCCCAGCACCAAACTGGAATTACAACTAAAATAAAGACAAATCGTTGTGAAAAAGCAACAGAAAAGCAGCCTGCGAGGATCATATAACCAGGGACACTGACTCAATCCTGGTAGGACTGCAGAAGCAAGAGATGGGGACTGGGAGCCCACAAACAGCAGTGGTCTTAGCTTTGAGCAGCGTCCTCAGGTTAAACTCCCAAGTGGCTCCACAGTCCAGAGCCAGGACAGACACTAAAATAGCCACAGCCACTCATCTTGGGCTCCGGCAGGGGGAGGGCGGACTGGACTAGAACTGTGTGGGGACACTTGGGATTTGGAGGGTGTTCACAGCTTTGGCTGTGATTTTTGATGGCGTCTTTAGGGTTTCCTATGTACAATATCATGTCATTTTGCTGAGTTGCAGCCACACAGGACAGTGGCCATCCTACTCCTTCCCAGGGCTCAGGGGAGAGGTGGCCACCCCT